AGAACACCAAACAAAGACGGGAAGAGAAGCCATAAAATGGTAATACACCTTGACACTTTAGTCCCAATCAAATTCCTAGATCAGGGAGAAAATTCCCGGGCTTTCTACATCTAAAGAACATTGGTTACATGAGAAACACGTGACTTCCTGTGAGTAACATAAACAAACATTTAACCCCAGATATACTGAGTGTTTTCATCTTGTAATACCCAACACCCAGGGAAATGCTGATCGCCACTTTGGGGTCAGGAGGCAATTTTTCTCCAGGCCGCTTTGGCCGGAGATCCTAGAGGGTTTTTGTCACCTTCTGGGCGTGGAACAGAGGTCACTGGGGGTGTGTTTGGGGGAGGGATTTGTGAATTCCCTGCCTTGTGCGGGGGGCTGGACTAGATGACCCTGGAGGTCCCTTCCAACGCTATGATTCTATGAAAGCTTAGACCCAGAATTAAACTTTCTTGGTCTTAAAGGTGCCGCTGGACTCAAAACTTTGCTCTTTTATGGGTCATCCACTTTCTTGTTTGCAGACACGGGGGAGCATTCGGCAGTCTCGGCTGGCGTGGCGGAGCTGGGGGTTAGGAACACCGAAATGGGTCGGCAGAAGTTTTGCATGCAGCCCCTCAGCCCCCGGGGGAAAGAGCTGGCATTTGGGAGGCCAAAGCCCTGCACAGAAGGAGCTGCTCTTGAAATGGAAGCCATAAAGCAGGGGCGGTGGAGGGGAATAATCTAATCTGATCTTACTCCCACACACAGACAGTCAATCTCTCGCACACAGCCCCCCGTCCTTCGCAATCTAAGCAAAGCGATCTCCAGATTCCGGAAGGCTGACTCAACGAATGCATGCTGGATGTAAACCATCTGTACCAAACGGGGCAATGCATTGCTGAGCCAGCTGAGAGGTGACATGACAGAGGCTTACAAGATTATGCAGGGGACAGAGAAGGCAGAGAAAGAATTCCTTTTCTCCCTTTCTCGCGAGACGAGAAGTCGCGGGCACGCCATGGAAATAACGAGCAGTGGGTTGAGAACAGATTGAAAAGTACTTCTTCACACCCAGAGAGCAGTTAACACGTGGAACTCACTGCCACAGGAAGTGGTGGCGGGTACAAGCAGAGACAGCTTCAAGTGAGGATTAGATGACAATATGGAGCAGAGGTCCATCGGTGGCTCTTAGCCACAAGGGATAGACGGAACACTCTGACTGGGGCAGTGATGCTTGGAGGGCAACAGTGGGACGACTTCTGGAGTTCTGGCACCGCTGGTGGACCTCCTGATGGAACCTGGGTTTTGGCCACTGTGTGACACAGAGTGTTGCACTGGTTCGGCCACTGGCCTGATCCAACATGGCTTCTCTGATGTTCTCACGTCTGGGGCAGTGATGCTCTGTGTTTTTGGTGCTCGGGGAGCAACAGTGGGAGGGATTCTGGAGTTCCGGCCCTGCTGGTGGACCTCCTGAGGTCACCTGGATTTTGGTCACTGTGTGACACAGAGTGTTGGACTGGATGGTCCACTGGCCTGATCCAACATGGCTTCTCTTATGTTCTTTGTATTCTTGGTGCTTGGGGGGGGGGGAACAGGGGGATGGCTTCTCTGGTCCCACCGCTGGTAGACCTCCTGATGGCCCCTGGGTTTTGGTCACTGTGTGACACAGAGGGTTGGACTGGTTGGGCCATTGGCCTGATCCAACATGGCTTCTCTGATGTTCTTACGTCTGGGGCAGTGATGCTCTGTGTTCTTGGTGCTTGGGGGGCAACAGTGGGAGGCTTTCTGGAGTTCTGGTCCCACCGCTGGTAGACCTCCTGATGGCCCCTGGGTTTTGGTCACTGTGTGACACAGAGGGTTGGACTGGTTGGGCCACTGGCCTGATCCAACATTGGTTCTCTTATGTCTGGGGCAGTGATGCTCTGTGTTCTTGGTGCTTGGGGGCCAACAGTGGGAGGGCTTCTGGAGTTCTGGCCCCGCTGGTGGACCTCCTGATGGCTCCTGGGTTTGGGTCACTGTGTGACACAGTGTGTTGGACTGGTTGGGCCATTGGCTTGATCCAACATGGCTTCTCTGATGTTCTTATGTCTGGGGTAGTGATGCTCTTGTGTTCTTGGTGCTTGGGGGGCGACAGTAGGAGGTCTGCTGGAGCTCTGGCCCTGCTGGTGGACCTCCTGATGGCACCTGGTATTTCTGGCCACTGTGTGACACAGAGTGTTGGATTGGTTTGGCCATTGGCCTGATCCAACACTGGCTTCTCTTATGTTCTCTTTATTCTTGGTGCTTGGGGGGGGGCACAGTGGGGAGGGCTTTGGGAATTCTGGCCCCGCTAGTGAACCTCCTGATGGCACCTAGGTTTGGGCCCCTATCTGACACAGAGTGTTGGATTGGATGGGCCACTGGTCCGATCCAACATGGCTTCTCTTATGTTCTTAAAACGGCGGGGGCAGAGCCAACAGGTTTTGAGTCCACTGCTTGCTACCCAGGGTTTACTGGGTATAGGTAAGCTTTGCTTAAGGAGGTTATCCTCTCTGGCCAGGGACGACACCCATCATGGCTAATGAATCCTCAAAATAAACCCTAATTATCGTTAACGAAAAGGAGCTCCAAAATTAAAACAACAACAGCTGTACTGGTTAGAGCGTCAGACTAGCATCCGGGAGACCCAAGTTTGAATCCTCACCCTGCCATGGGGGATTGCTGAGTGACTTTGGGCCAATCACACACTCTTCCGGTTGGGTGATAGGGAGATATTGAAAAAAAATGGTATTTAGCAGATAAGATGGTCCAGCAGAGCCAGAGTAAAATAATTCAGACTGAGAGTCCATGTGTGATTAAAATATAAAGTTTTTACTAAATTCTAGCATGGGAAGGGTAACTGGGATGAAAATAACAACAGAGCATAATCGGCGACATCCTTACTCTACAAATACAAAACTAGAAGAGAGAGATTATGGCTACTCTTCTTGTTCTTCTGAACACCAAACAAAGACGGGAAGAGGAGCCATAAAATGCTAATACACCTTGACACTTTAGTCCCAATCAAATTCCTAGATCAGGGAGAAAATTCCCCGGTATTCTACAGCTAAAGAACATTGGTTACACGAGAAACATGTGACTTCCTGTGAGTAACATCAACAAACATTTCACCCCAGATATACTGAGTGTTTTCAACTTGTAATACCCAACACTTCCCCCTGACCTACCTCACAGGGTTGTTGTGAGGATAAAACGGAGGAGAGAACCGTGTAAGCCGCTGGGGAGAAATGTGGGGTTAAACGGAAGGGAATAAATAAAATTTATTTATTTAAAGGTTATAGCCTGCCTCAGGTCCTCAGACGAACAATGCCACAGCCAGGATGTAAACGCTTAAAACACAACAATCCGATTCACAAGACTTTAAGAATGCACGGATTTAAAATGTGCCCACCCACCATGTGAAAATGCACAGGATACATATTAGAAAATGCACGGCCTTGAAACAAACAAGCCCAAATGAACAACACACAGGATTTTTCTGCTGCAGTTTGCCCTCCACCAAAGGCCCTCTGGAATGGAATAAAACTCTCCCTGCAAGGTAGTCCAGGCAGAAGGACTGGTGCTCCTGCATCCATCCAGCTCTCCGCAGCCTAGCAGCGTTACCAAACTACAGGTGGGGCTAAGGTTCTCTCCCCGTTAGAGTTACCAACGATGGTTTGGGGAATTCCTGGAGATTTTGCTGGCAGAATGTGGGGAGGGTGGGGATTTGGTCCACCTTCCCTGGTAGGGTTGCCAGGTCTGGGTTGGGAAAGACCTGGAGACTTTGGGGGGTGGAGCCTGGGGAGGGGGCGGGGTTTGGGGGAGGGGACGGGCCTCAGCACGGTCCAGTGCCATCGAGTCCGCCCTTCAAAGGAGCCGTTTTCTCCAGGGGCGCTGACCTTTGTCAGCTGGAGATCAGTTGCAAAAGCGGGGGACCTCCAGGCCCCACCTGGAGGCTGGCAACCCTGCTCCATGGCGGGCATCCCCCTCCAGTGGAACCGATCTCGGTTAGCCGCTGGTCAGTTCTCATTCCGGGAGATCCCCAGGTCCCACCTGGAGACCCGATTTCCCCCCCCCCC